GGTGGGGAGAACCGGATGGAAGGCTCTAGAGGCAGCTCCACGAGCAGAGCTGAGGGAGACACTTTCTCTGCACCTGTTTCCTGTGTCACACTTCATACAGGGGATAGTCCAGGCTGGTGTGAAGCTCCCGGGGGGTTTCGCTTCTGGGTAGAATGGCCTTTGTTTTTTTTCCTCAGAGACTGGTGTGTGGGCCTAGTGGTGCGTCAGGTTCCAGTTAGAATCCAGTGCAGGCAGCAGGCTTCTTTTTAATCAGAGAGGGTCCAGTTCTCCTCCGGTTAGACTCAGTGCAGGCAGCAGCTTCTCCTTAATTAGAGAGGGGTCTGGGTGCCGGGCTTCCCATCAGGAAGAAGGGGCTGTGGTGCTGAAGTCTGTCGTGTGTCCCCTTCCTGTGTTAGAAAACTGTCTTTGGTGCTCCTGGGGCTGCCCTTACAAGTGCTGCTCTGAACTGTCAGGTCGTTCAAAGTCCGTTTGCGTCCTGTCCCCAGGAATCTCCTCAGACCCTATTTAGACTGCTCATAGACTTTCCCTTCCTTTTTTGCACTAAGCAGGTTCTTTCTCTGTTAATTTTTTAAAGCTTTTTCTTTCTGTCATTTCGGCGGCACCTTGGGAGGGATGGGAGTTAGATAGGTGTTTGTAGTCGGCCATCTTGAGAAACTTCTCAAAACTGGAGGGTTGTAACTGCTTGAGTTTTGAAGTTAATGGAATGGGCGCATTGCCTTCATAACTGTAAATGTTACTGCTTCACTTACTGTTAGCCCAAGCGGTGTCTTGCATCTGCCCAGATCCTTCCTTGTGGTACGTGCTCACTTTCTGGCGACAGCCAGGCTGTTCTTTGCAGGCGTGTGCTCCTAGCAGTCGAAGACAGAAGTCTGGGGGCCTGTGTAGGCTGTATGGGCTGCTGTGTGTGTGCCGTGAGTTGTGTCTGAGACCACCCCTGCTCCCCTGAGTGCTGCCTGATCTGTCTGCATGACCACGGTGGGACACCACTGTTCCCTGGTGTCCTTTCCTGGCTGGCAGTGTGGTGTTGTGGGCAGAGCCGGGCTGGTGGGCTCCGATCTTGGTTCTGCCTTTGTAACGTTTGTCACGCTGTCTTTTGGGAACTCGTTTGTGTGTGTGTGTGTGTGTGTGTGTGTTCTGCCTGTAAGATAAACTGGCATGCAGTCTACACTGTGAGGTACGGGCTGTGTGCGGGCCAGCACAGCACGCTGTGGTCCTAGGCAGGGAGGTGTCCTTCCTTTCCCCTGCCTGGTGGGGCTGCCCTTCCCTGCCTCGTGTGGAGGTTGCTCCTGGCCTGCAGAAGGCAGAGAGCATTTTGGCAGGATGAGCCCTGCCTGCCTTCCCATTGCTGTGCTGCCTCCCCGCTCTGCTCCTCCCTCCCCTTCCTGGAAACTACCTAAAATACTTGGTTACTTCTTTTTTGAAGCTGTGTTCTCTGTCCTAGAGTTTGGGTGTTGATACAGTGGAATCCACAAAATTGAGTAAGATTTGATTCTCATTTTAAAGTGAAATAAATCATTTGGGTGCATGTTGGGTGAAAGTGCCGTAATTGATAGCATTCATCATCAGACTTTAATTTTATCTCTGGGGTGTAGGAGTAGGTGGGATTAAGTACAAAATCTGCAGAAGCAGGGAAGGCGAAAACGGACTGCTGGATTTCTGTTTTTCACATGTCCGCAGCAATATGGACCATTTGCATTAAACTTTTAATAGCAACACTTATTTAAGATTCATTTTTTACTCTTGCTCTGAAATCACAAATTCTATTTGACAGTGATAGGACAAAATTATAGTTTTAAACTTTGCAAACCACACTCCAGAGCTGTGCCAAAAATAACAATTTCTTGTGTCAAGAATAACTTCCTCATCAAGTCACTGGAGGAGGCGAGCTGACTGGTGGCGACGTAGACCACTGAAGCTTCAGTGAGCCCAGAAGGCGTGCGCTCCACATTGCAGAGACCTCTCTGTCAGTATTGAGATGGTGGAAAGTGAGGAGAAGCAAAAAGATGACTACTTCTTTCCCCATTCCCTGGTCTGGTTTTCTTGGGGTCTACATAGAGGTGCGTCAGCCAGCGCTACCATGGAAGCAGGAGGCATTCTTTCTGCTCTCGTGTCAGTACTGACGGGGTTGAAGAAGGTTGCTGTGCTTGTTGGTGAGGGTATTGCGAGGGTGGTGTGAAAGCAGTTGGGCTGGAGTAAAGCTGGTCACAGTGTGTCCTTTTGCCTGGGATCCCCTTTGTTTACATTTGTGTGGCCCTAGTGCTACAGTGATGTCACTTAGCTCTGGGGGACTGTGAAATTTTGTGCTCTAAATTATTAATACATGTTTATGTGTGGGCTTGCTAGAATGCTGTGTCCATTATTGTTGGCTCCTTGCACAGCTCTCCTTGTTCTGCCTCACTGGCTGTGAAATTGGCTCAGGTGGTGGGCTCTGGGTCCAGCGAGATGCATCTGAGGTGTTGACCTGGTAGTATGGGCCTGGGGCTGCCAGTGGTCTGTTGCCTGATGAGGGAGACCATTCCTGAAACTGTAGCGCACACTCAGTAGAGTAGGAAAGGTGGAGAAAGCCTCCTGGTTATGAGCTTGTGGCTCTTGCTATTCTTGACTTGTTTGTTGTGCAAACCTTTTTTTGTTTAAGCCAATTTGAGTTGGGTTTACTTACTCGTAGTGGAAAGGTTCTGACACAGGATCTTTATTATATGAAGTGTTTTCATCATGTACGTTGTGTTATACATTATGACGTATCACACAATCTTGTGATGTAGCTTGCTTTGCCATTTTTATTATGTGGAAGATATTCCTGAATTTCTACACTTCCTGTGAATTTGGAGGCAGGGTGAGGCAAAGTCACTAATATCAGGGTATCAGTAGGGGAGCCTTTCAAATCTCAAACATTGAAGTGTTCTTCTGTAACCTGTTTCTTCGTCAAGTTGTGTCTGCTCTGCAGAGTGGCTGTGACATCTGACATCCAGTGTGAAGGTGTGGTCACTCAGCTGGAAGAGAAAAACCTAGCACCCTGAGAGTGGGTGGATCTGCTGGTGATTTTTCAAGCAGTATCTTCCCGTTTTTGGACGCTCCTCCCTTCTGTAGGTGGAGCCTTGGTCTCTTTTCATTGAGTACAGGTGGGGCTGATGACTCATTTCTAATGAACAGAGCACGGCCTGCCTGACTGCTGAGGCTAGCTTATAGGATTCCTGAAGCTGCAGGCCCTGGTTTCCTTTCTGTGTGTGCCCTGTGGTCACTCACTCTGTGGAGTCCGTTGTCCATGCTCTGAGGACTCAGGAACTGAGGGCTCCTGCTCACAGCCATGCCGTGGAGCTGTCTTGGTAGCACCTCCTCAGTCCCGGCAAGGCCTCAAGGCTGCCAGATTCCTGCAGCTCCAGCTGACATCTCAACGACCTCCTGTGAGACCCAGAGCCACATTCACCCAGCTAAGCTGCCCTGAACGCTGACACGCAGAAACGGAGATAACAGATGCCTGTCGTTTGGGCCACTGAGTTTCAGAGTGAGCTGCCTGTAGAAATGGATGAGCAGCATCTGTGCACGGAGGTGAAGGGTGGAGCCAAGCGCATGTCTGTCAGAGTCCGCTGCCATCCATCCTTTCCCTGCCTGCCTTCCTCCTACGTGGTGCTGGATCAGCCGAGAGGATCAGCAGCCGAGAGGCTTCTGTGAAGGAATGTGCTCCTTCAGGGCCGACTTGCATTTGTGTCTTTTTTTTCTTGGAGATTTCTGTAAAACAGCAGCCGTTAGCAGTTATGTGATTACTACGTTTAGAATTTGGGAAGAAAGGGAAAACCTTGTTTGCCATGAAATAAGTACTCTGTTGATAAGTATTCCTTATTTTGAATAATGGAGAATTCTCTGTGTCTTAGCCAGTTAAGAGTTATTCACTTTTATGTTGTGTTAAAATGATAAAAGTTACTCCAGTGACCTGACTGCTTCACTTAATGAGTTTTGTTTTTGTTTTTGCAAGATGCATTTCCTCTCTTTCAGGAATAAGTTCTGTTGGGGAAAATACGGAATATGGACATGTTGCCACCTCCTGCTAGATGGTGGCGTGTTAATAAACAGTTCCTACATCTCAGCATTTTACAGCCCCCAAAGGTTTATTATGTTGTATGTGTTAGCTGCAGATAAGGTGTTGCTCTGCTCCAAGTGTCTTCTTTCGTCAGCATCCAGGCTGAGAGAATAGCTCCATTTTGAGCCTTGCCATTCTCATTTAAGGGAAAAGGATGGGAAGTTGGCTGGAACACCTGAAGGCTCCCAAGCCTTCTGCTTAGAACCAGTGTGCGTCCTTTCTGCTCAGAGCTGGTGTCTGCCTCTTCTGTCATATTGTGTCCGAAATTGGTTCCTTCTAGTGGGTTCTTGGTCTCGCTGACTTCAAGAATGAAGCCGTGGACCCTCATGGTGAATGTTACAGTTCTTAAAGATGGTGTTTCTGGAGTTTGTTCCTTCAGATGTTCAGACGTGTCCGGAGTTTCTTCCTTCTGGTGGGTTCGTGGTCTCGCTGACTTCAGGAGTGAAGGAAGCTGCAGACCTTCATGGTGAGTGTCACAGCTCTTAAAGGTGGCGCATCCAGAGTTGTTTGTTCCTCTGGGTGAGTTCGTGGTCTTGCTGACCTCAGGAGTGAAGCCGCAGACCCTCGCGGTGAGTGTTACAGCTCATAAAGGTAGTGGGTACCCAAAGAGTGAGCAGCAGCAAGATTTGTTGTGAAGAGCGAAAGAAGAAAGCTTCCACAGCGTGGAAGGGACCTGAGCGGGTTGCCACTGCTGGCTCAGGTGGCCAGCTTTTATTCCCTTATTTGGCCCCACCCATGCCCTTCTGATTGTTCCATTTTCCAGAGTGCTGATTGGTGCGTTTTTACAGAGTGCTGGTTGTTGCTTTTATAAACCTTTAGCTAGATACAGAGCACTGATTGGTGTGTTTTTACAGAGTGCTGATTGGTGTGTTTATAAATCTTTAGCTAGACACAGAGTGCTGATTGGTGCGTTTACAATCCTTTAGCTAGACAGAAAAGTTCTCCAAGTCCCCACCTGACCCAGAAGCCCAGTTGGCTTCACCTCTCAGTGTCTCATTGGCCAGAGAAAGTCGTGTGGCCAGGCCTGCCCCTGCCTGTAGGAAGCTGATGGATATCACTGGACCCAATGCAGACTGTTCCTTGAAGGGCAGGGGGAGTGAATGAAAGCAGCCATACTGTCTGCTGCAGTGAACCTGGATTAGAGAGGTGGAAGAAGTTGGAACATAGTGTACTGAATGTGAAAATTTTAGGTTGGGTCGATATCAGCTCTTAGAACTTGTGCCTGTTGAAGCCTTCTTATTTTACAATAATACTCTTTTTGATTGAAGCTATCCTGGAAACCACTGTGGATATTTCTGCTAATAGTCGTCCTCTGGCCAGAGGTTTTCATATTTGGGAGCAGGGGTGACTATAAGCTCCCTGATGTCGCCTGTACATACACGTAGGATCACCCTAAGGGCCTTAGCCTGCCAGATGGATGCTGGTGACCAGCCGAGCCCCATCTTCCTCATGTCCAAATGAGTCCTCCTTTTGTCAGGTGTTAGTTCAGGAACTAAACTTAATAATAAATGTGGCTGCTTTGGTGTAATCATAAAATGAGGAATATGCCAAAGTCAAATTCCTCTGGAGGCATGCCAAAAATTAAGGCTGGAAGTTGAGTCTGGGCCAGATTGTAGAGCCTTTGATGACTGGTTCCAGCACCTTTGGCTTCAGTTTCTTCTGTGGGGTTAGGAGTCAGAGAGCTGGGTGCCCAGGAACAATCAGCCTGGGCCTAGAGACTGGACAGCAGTGGGGAAGAGACACCAGACAGCGACCTCCTGATACGCCTGTTACGGATGGTGGCCTCAGGTCCACATTTGCATGGGCTCACCCCTCTTCCTTTTTTCTGCTCCAAAGTCTGTGCCTCCATTGGGAGCACACACAGTTATCACCCTCTCTGAGAAGCCCTTTCTGACTCACGTTACAGGTGCTTGCTTTCTGCCACCGTGGACTACTCGATGACTCCTCCTCTTCCTCAACACCCAGGGCGACTTTTCCCTACCGTCTTTCTGTGTCTGTGGACATCACCTCTCTCGGCCCCTAGGTGGCCGGGGTCCTGACCAGCCCTGGGCAGCGGCCTCTCTGGGGAGAGCCCAGTGCCCTCCCTGCTGCGTCCTTCATCTTCCTCCTCGTCATCTCCAAGCCGAGCCTCCTTTCTCTGGAACCACGTGTGGGAGATGCAGTTCCGGGACACAGGAGTGAATACCCACTCACCTTAACTCATTTTTTTTTCCTCTTGTTGTCCTGTAGCCAGCTGCTGAATTCCTCACCGTGCACCTTCACCCTTCTCTCATTTTCTGTTCAGCCAGCTCTCTTGACCCTGGTCCTTCTTGCTCGAAATCATGTCTTTTTTTTTTTTTTTTTTTAAACAATACACTGTGTCAGAGGAATCCTTGAGTTTTACAACTGGAAGTGACTTTAGAGGTTAGCTGATTCAGCTTCTCTCCCTTCCCAGGTGAGGAGCGGGACAGCCACAGCTGTGTGGAGACTTGTCTACCCTGCAGCTGCCAGCTGTTTAGGGATGGATGCCCCTCTTTGGTACTGAGTGGCCACATCCATGTTTGTCTGGGATGGTCTTGCTTTGTGTCCCTGTTCCCAGGTGAATTTCTGACAATGTTCCCTTTTTCTCTCAGCAGAGATCTGGATGGCTGGTGAACTGTGTGAGTGTCCTGCGTGGACTGCCATCGTCCTGTGGTTTTAGACCTTATGGTGTCTTCTGTGCTGTCCTTGTGTTAAAACCCCCCCTTTTTTTCCCCGTCAAGTTTGTTGTCAAATTGTATCTCATGTAAGATGATAGCCAAGACCGGCTAGTGTTATTAAAAACAAAAACCATTCCAAGTGAAAACAGCTAAGTCTTCATTAGTATCTCTTGGTATTGGCTGGGTTATCGATGGATTCTTTTGTCTGTGAAGATAATTTTAACTCTCTCTATGGATTATGTAATTCTAGGTTTTTCCCTAAACTGAGGAATAGGATGTATATGCTTGTGAGAAAAACTGGTTTGAGAGTTCCTCATGGGTGTTGAGTGTTACAGTCACTCAGGACATTGTTACTAGTGGACTGCCTGTGCCCTTCCTTGAATTTAGCGATGCTTTATAAGAAAAATTGCTGTGATACTTTAGGAAGATTATAGCAGTCCTTTCTTTGATTCAAGGGGAATGGCATACTGTTGATCAAAGTTCATTCCCACAGGTTGCAGGCCTAAGGGTGCTCCATTTTCAGTCTGTAGAAGTGGAGGGAGTCTGGAGGATCCCACAGTGGGTGCCCAGGACCTAGACGAGAACTGTGCGTGGGTGGCCTGTGTATTGCTGCCTCCACAGTGCACCCGAGTCAGAGTGCACCTGGGGGGCCTGCTGCAGACCTGGTGGCCAAGGTGCCCCTTCCACATGGGAGAGGCAGGACCCCCTGCTCTGAGTCTGAGACTTACATTTCTTTCCCTCCAGTTGCTGGTAGGCCCAGGCTACGCAGCCAGGGTCTTCGGAGGAAGGGTGTTGGCGGTGTGTTGGGTCAGCACCCCTTCCTGCTGCTCTGAGGTCTGTGTGGTTTCTGTCTGCCCTGCATGAGTCCCCTTGGCCAGGCCTGCTGTCGAGGCTTGTGTTCCTGACACTCCCCTTCACGGGCAGTGCTGTTTGATTTTGCGATTATGCATTGCCCATACTGTATTAAAAATGGCCTTAAGCTGGTCATGATTACCACTAGAGGTTATAGTGTGAAATGGTGCTAGGCTGTTCATTGTTGTGTAGACAGTGTGGGGAGTGACAGTTCTGCATCCGTGACCTGAGAATTTAGGGGAGGGAGAGGCAGGACAGTCAGGGTGCTAGCACAGCTCCCCGGAATCCCGAGCGAGCCCCCAGAGCAGGCCGGGAAGGCTGTCCTCTTTCATGTTGGTGTCTGTAATCCTGCTGTGAGTCTTGGGGTAGTGAGGACGGTTCGGGCTCCCATGACTGAAGGGTGAAGTCGGTCATTCAGTGTGTGCTAGGGCAAGAGTTTGTGGTAGAAGCAACTGCTTCAAGACTGTGGTTTCTGGATGGAGTCAGGTGGTCTCCCAGGGGTGTGAGTTGGAGTCTTGTTGATGGAGCTCTGTGGAAGGATGGCGCCTGTTTGACATTGAAAGCTGTAGAGCTGTAGAAGTCATCCCGTGTGCTGTGTTTGCAGTGCATGGGTGTGCAGACATGTGGCCCATTCTTGCACAGTGGAACTGGGAGGTATGTGGGTTCAGGAAAGAGCACTGGATTAGGAATGAGGAGTCTCCTGGGACCGTGGATGAGCTACTGCACCACTGTGGCCTTGGCTCATCCGTGCCTGATCCCTGTCTGCAGAGGGAGCTGCCATGGTGTTGGAGCCATCTTTTTGTCTGAGAAATGTCGGTAGCTGGAAGAAAAGCCTTAGCAGCTCCCCATACCTTCTGTTGCTTCCTCCCTTGCCTAGAACACCCTCCCCTCACCTGGCCACATCCTGTGTCCCTTTCCAGACTTGACTCTGCCTGCACTGCCTCTGCCCTGCGGCCCCATTCCCTCTCTGCATTCCCACTGAGCTGGAAGACCACAGCCTCCTACAGCTGCTTTCTAGCCTGAAAGTCCAACTTTTTCAAAAAACTTATTTTGTGTTTTTGAATATGCTGACATATTTTAACCTGGGTGATATTAATCATGAAGTTATGCCCCTAAATCTTTCAAAATGACCTTTCCAAAAATAACTCCATGTTCCCACATAGCCAAAATTGTAATGTCTGTCATACATGACAAGGTTAGTAATGATGTCTCAACACCATCTGATATGTAGTCTGTGTTTACGTTTCCCCAGGTGCTCCCAAATACACTTTGTAGATGGTTTATCCAAAACGGTCCAGTGCAGGGCCCCTCATGGCATGTGGAGTCTCTTAATCCAGAACAGTCTTGTTTTCCGTGGCCCAGAATTGTGCACAGACTTAATGTCTGGCTTTTATAGCTGCCCAGGAACTGCTTGTTCAGTGAAGGCACAGAAAAGACAATGGGGATGAGACACTGAAGACATTTTTTTCTTCTTTGGTTCAGGGGGGATTTCCCTCAGTCTTAAATACGTTCAATTAAAAAACTATGCCCTTGGTCCTCCTCCGTGCCATTGTCTTCTGGACGTACAATGTGATCCCCAGGCTTGTCGGCTCCTTCCAGTGTCTCCCCAGTGTTTGTCGAAATCCCCCTCATCCCGCTTGTCCCTGTGGCTGAGGTTCTCCGACCTACGATTGCAGAAATCTTCCTCAGATAGTTTCTCTGTGTCTCACTATTTTCTTCTGTGGTCTGTATAGTTTAGTACCTTGTAGCCGTTCCATTTTATGCCCAAATTGCTTTATATGTGGCCTGTGTATTTCATAGAAGGCAAGATAATTTTCCTAAACAGTGCCAGCTACACTTCAGCTTCCTAAGAAGCGATTTCTGCAAAGCATTGCAAGAGAAATGAGGTCCAACAAACATAGTCTGCGAGAATAGAGTTGAGGAAGTCGTTGTACTTGGGGGCTTCGTTTTTACCTCTAAATGAGAGGGTTGACTTGTAAGTAATGTAGATGATTCTTCTCTCTGTTCGGTGGGCTTTTTCTTGTGGTTATTTTGAATTTTTTAAAAGTGAGAGTTTTCCTTGGCAGAATGCAGTTCATCTATAGGTCTGTTTTGATAAGTGAGATTTGGTGTGCCCTTTTCTTTTTGAAGGCGTGGGGCATTCCAGTTGCTGCTTCCTGTCCTCAAGCGTGTTCCCCTTTCCCTGGTGAAGATGAGCAGTCTGAGGGGCCCAGTGCAGGGCTGTAGCAAGCAGGTGGTCAGGGAGGCTCTGCTCCATAGACCCAGCCCTCTTCCTTCTTGTGGCGCTGCTGCCTCCTTCCCACAGCGTGCTGCCTTGTGTTGTACCATTTAGTGTTAGACCGTGGGAACTCCCCTCCCCACTCCCCTTTTAAGAAGGTATTTTTCTATCCTTGTTTGAATACTCTGGGCTTCTTTTATCCCTGATTCGGTGTTGTATTTCATTATGTAATTTCTACTGAGAGTAAAATATCAAAAATAAACTAAGTAATTTTAATGTTAATTTTCTGGTGGAAAACTGGTAGGATGATTTCGTTTTGGGAATATGGGATCATTCTACTGCACATTTAATTCACTTAAATGTAAAAGTAAGTGTGAGTGTTTGAAATAGGTTTTTCCAAATGGATAGATCCTAATGCGTATTTTGGGGCGAAGTGTATCTGTGCAGCCACCCTCTTCCCCAGCATGGTGCCTGTGCGGGGTGGTCCAGGTGGCAGGAAGCGTGCCTGTGCAGCCACCCTCTTCCCCAGCATGGTGCCTGTGCGGGGTGGTCCAGGTGGCAGGAAGCGTGCCTGTGCAGCCACCCTCTTCCCCAGCTTGGTGCCTGTGCGGGGTGGTCCAGTGGCAGGAAGCATGCCTGTGCCGGTGTCGAGCCTGCTGCTGGGCGGGATTCCTAATGACCCTCCTTACCTCACTGCGAACGCCTCTCACCCTGGGCTGTGTGTTGGAGTCACTTGAAGAGGGTTGGCATTTTGATTTTGAGTCTCTCCAGAACACTGCTGGAGTATCCTGCCCTTTCACAGCCCCCAGGAGGTCTTAACGTGCAGCTCCTGCTGAGAATTGCAGCTCCTGAGGCTGAGGCTTCCAAAAGGAGGCCTGGAGACAATGGAATATGGTTTGTACTTCCTTCCGTCCTGCTGCTCCTCGCCTTGCCAAGAGCGGAAATACTGCTAAAGCACCCAGCAAGTCGTGGTGGGGAATGAATGAATCCTGTCTAAGACACTTGCCTTAATAACCCTAGGGGAACAATTTAGTGTGTTATATGTCATGATAATTCTTATATACACACTGATTTACTTTTTGCAGAGATATTTCTACAAAAGTTCTGAGACTTCCCTCTTATTCCCATAGTACAAAATTTCTCTGTACTCAGATTTTTCTGTTTCTGTTTTTTGTTGAATAGATTTCTATTTTAGGAAATAGTCTGTTATCTTTCTCCAGAGAAGCACTTCAATCGAAACATTCTATTGGCTGAGAATGTGCATTTTCCCCCTCTCAGGGGTAAGGATTTGCCTCATCTCATTGTCTAGCTTCCTGTTGAGAAGTGTGGTGTGTGTATTCACTTAAGCGCTGATGTCATATTGAAGCCCATTGGTGGGCAATTTCAGCCAATCAGATGCTTCCTGGTGTCCAAGTAAGAAAGATATATAGTTCTGGAATAACAGGAAACTTCACGTTTTTCACATCCTGTTATTCTGGGTTTTGTGACTTGCTGCCTTGCCACTATGAAGGTTAGTAGAAATTTATATATGTATTTCTTCTTGCAGTATACCATGACTTGAATTTTCCGAGCTCTAAGATTAGATCTGTGGAGCTGAAAGACATTCAGATCTCCTATTTAAACATTTTATGATGAGGAGAAATTTTATGTTTTGCATATAAGGAAGCTGAGGCCTAAAATTTAATTCCTTTTTAAAAATGCAGCTTGACCCGTATTTGTTATAGGTGGTTACGTCAGCCTAATGCTGCTCTCATTGGAGTTGGGATTTCTACTTAAGTAATATCACAACAAATGTATTCTGTATTAAAGATGATTCTAAAGACTATCTGTTCTAAGGACTGTTTTTTAAAGGAAGGATTTAGCTTCATGAAATCAGTTATATTTTGTGCTTTGTTGGAAATGGCATCGGTAAGCACATAGAATGCTTAAATATGTTCACAGCTTTCCTTTTATGTTCTGTGGTTCCTTTTGATATTTCCTTGTGAACTTCAAGAAAGTGACCTCTGGTTTTCAGCTCCCTTCTTGACCCTCTTAGTGATTTGATGGCTTTTTCTCTTGAGGTAGTTTTTCCAAGTCTGGTTTTTCTTTTTTTATGTTTAAACATCTCATGACTATTTTTGCTTATTTGAAAAATTATAGACAGAAGGCCTTTAGCTGAAGATGAATTTTGAATAATACAGCAGGACTTTTTCACATTTGGTGTCACTTTTCTTAGCTTCTCTTGGCGTGAGCTTCATTACAGCAGCGTGCAGCGCCTGCAGGGTGGGTGGCTGTTTGGATGCTGGTGCACGTCTCCATTCGGATGCCTTCTCACTGTGCACCAGCCTCTGTGCTGGGTGTTGGGAGATGTACAGTCTGCCACTGCAGCTTTTTTAGTCTAGGAAGGCCTGTAGACATCCACCATCAAATTGTCATGACACATGTTCTGGGGGAGCCTGGCTGGGGACCTGACTGGGCGTGGTGGGGGCAGCAAGGCCGTCAAGGCAGGGCTCTGCCAGGAAGCAAGATGAATAAGGATTAGCCAGGAAAGGGAGGGGACCGAAGGCAGGAAGAGGAGAAGTGGGGCTTCTGGCAGGGTCTGCTAGAGGTGTGGGGAGAGGGCAGGACTGACAGGAGGGGAGGATAGCCCTGGAGAGAAGGTGGGGCCCTTGTCCACTGATGCTCATTTCCGGTAACCTCAGAACATAGGGCAACAGGATACACGTTTTGCTATTTAAATACATCTTTCTGTTGTTTGCACCTCTGAAAGAAATTGTTTCTTAATTTTTCTGGAATACAGTTGTGGATGATTTGACTGTTAAATTTATTTTTGCTTGAGGTTATTTGGTGACCAGAAGCCATATGTAGTCTTTGAGCAGTATCCGAGAGCTGTTGTTTGTTTTGACATGGCTGTGTGTGCACACGCGTTCTAGACTCTAGTTGCCACATACCTAGGCAAACCAGTGTGCTTTACCTTTCCAAGCTCCAAGATGAGTGGTGGGAAGTGCCTGCCAGTGGCAATGTGACCAGCTCCATCATGGCCCCAGGGCTCCAGATAGCCCTGGATCGGAGGGGATGCGGTTGTGGGCTTGCCTGGTCCTGGCCTCAGAGCTCTGAGGGTGGTGGTGTTCTCTTGTCCCTACCCCTTTCCTGTCTGGGATCTGCTTCTCCTGTCTTTCCTCCTTTTTCCCTCATATCCACTCTGCTCTCTGATGTCTGCATTTTCTTTTGCTGCTGTTAGCTTTGGAATTGGCTGTCATTTTCCCTTTTCTGTGTCTAGGAAAGAACATCTGTAGCACACCTTGCCTGGGGCCCCTGTGTTAATCTAAGGAGAGGAGGATTGAGCAAGCACCTCTGCTTACTTGCTGAATGCCAGCAGCCTGCTGCCTCTCCTGCCGCCCCCCGGCCACACTGGCCCTGTGAATGAGCTCACACTCCAGCGTGTAAAGAGGGGCAGGGGCGGGTGTTGGGTAGGGAATTGGCCTAATGCCGAGGGGGGACCCTGCGCCTAAGTAAGAGGATTCTGATTGAATTCTTACCCCAGGACTGAGAGACTGAGCGTGCTGGTCTCCCTGTCGCAGGTTGTGTGGTCTCCTTAGGATTTCAGGCTGAGCATCGTCACGTTGCTGGGAGAACATAGTTCATCCTGCACCCAACGTAAGACTCTACTAATTTTGCTTGTTTAATTTTTCCTTTCAGACGTTTGATGCAAATGATTTGTATCAGGGGCAGAATTTTAACAAGGTCCTCAGTTCCTTAGTGACTCTAAATAAAGTAACAGCAGGTAAGACTCTTTTTTTATTGAACTCGAGGGGGTGGGAAGACATACGGGCTGACACCTTTGGTTTTCTTGTTTTACCAAGGCCAGGGGAGCGTTACTGAATTTAAAAAATAAGCTTTTGTTGCATTACATTTTGATTGTTCCTTTTGCTGTGATATTTTATTTTCCTTGTTAGAATCTTCTTTAAATGTTCTGGTATGTATCAGGTGTTTTCCTTTTTGTGGATGGAGAGATTTCTCACCTGAAGGTATAGCAGGAGAAAAGTGTCTAGTTCTAATGGGAAGGCTCATGAGCTGTCTTGGAGCTAGAAGCACCTGTCTCTGAGTTTTTATTGAGTGTATGCTGATTAAAATTTGTATCTAGTGAGCAGAAGTTTTGAGCTGTGACCATGATAAGAGAGTGGCTCGTGGATTGGCCTGTAAAGTCCACACCACGTGTCCAGGGCTCCTGAGGGCCATGGCACCCCGGTACATGGTGTGTGTGGTCCTAGCCCCTGTTAGTACTGAAGTGGAGAGGAGGTTTTGGGGACATGGTGTGCCCCTCTCATGGGCCACAGCGAAGACAGGAGTTGTTCAGACAGGGTCCTCTGAGGGGAGGTGCGTGTTGTCCATGATGCCAAGGTCCCCGGAGGAGATGCTCCATGAGCCCCGGGGAGCTCCTCCTTGGATCCCTGTGTGGCTCACAAGGAAGGAACTTTTTAGTTGCTTTTTTGTTTAATTAGAGTAACTTTTTTTTTTTAAACTTAACCTTCACGGATGTTAAATATCAGATTTGTGGGGGAAAGTGACGTGTCCTTTTCAAACAGAAACCTCTTGAGTTTATTTTGTCAGGGTCACTTCCCAGTTTGGTCTGGCCCTTCAGAGGGGGTGTGTCTGCCTCGCTGCACACTGAGGAGAGACTGGGGTTATGAACGCTTTGGGGCTGCAGTTCCTGGCTCTGGGAAGCTTCATCGGTGGTGCAGGGACTGTCCTTGGTGCTGCCTCCCAGCACGTGTGCTCTGACTGTTGTCTGGAAGCTGCTCTGCTGCTGGTGCCCTGGCGGGAGGCACTGGCCCCCATCCCTGGGAGCAGGGGCAGACCCCAGGCAGAGGTGTGGCTGTGGCTGCGTGTTCACAGTTTGACTTCTGAGGTTTAAAGGGCTGTTCAGATGAAAGCATCTAGGAAACAAAAATTTACATGGCAGGATTATGAAGATGGATATAACTAATGAAAATTGTCACATTATTTAATGCCTTCTCTGTCTCTACAGTCTAAAAATAATATGAACAAACAATACACTTATCGAAAGTTACGGATGACATAGAAAAGGACATACATTTACAGTAGATCACTGGAATTTAATACAAGAAACACTGCAACAGATGATGTACAGAAGTGGCATATTCATGTGTCCTGACCACATGGGGGATCTGCCTGCAAACTCATATTCATCCATGCCTCAGAGTTTTGAATGACTTTTTATGGAGACAGGGTCTTGCTCTGTCGCCCAGGCTGGAACACAGTGCGTAATCTCAGCTCACTGAAGCCTCAGCCTCCTAGGCTCAGGTGGTCCTCCCACCTCAGCCTCCTCAGCAGCTGGGTCTGCAGGTGTGTGCCTCTGTGCCTGGCTAATTTTTGCATATTTTGTAGAGATGGGATTTTGCTGTGTTGCCCAGGCTGGTCTTAAACTCCTGAGTTCAAGCTATCTGCCCACCTTGGCCTCCCAAAGTGCTGTGATGACAGGCGTGTGCCACCATGGCTGGCCTCAATGATGTGCCTTATAATTAACATAGGTCTCTGTGGCAGATGGGGCAATAGCACAGATATGTAAAATCTACAAGTAATCCTTAATTTGACTCTGCTCCCATCGAATACTTTTCTAGAGGTTGCTCACAGGAGCAGAAGATAGTAACTTTGAATTTCACTGTGCATGTTTTCTCTGCCTTCATTGTAAGTGGGGTGCTAATTAGGAAGAAGTGGCTTTAGAAGATGGCTTTAATTTGCACACTCAGTCTTGGGATGGTCAACTTTCAAGGTTTGAGATGGTAGGATTTACAAGTAAATAAGAGAAGTCAGAATCCAATGACTCTCGGGCTATTGGTTTTTACCTCTACCTTATGAAAATGTATTTCGTATATGTTCTTGGGTGTCATTGGCTATGTGTTGGATGTAAAATAGTTAGTTTTGTTCTTTACAAAGACAAATTTGGAAGTTATCAGATAAACTTTTTAAGCTTTTAAACTATAGGAATGACCCCTCCTAGATGGAAGGAATGTTTTGCTTTTCTGTTTGCCCTTTGTTTTTGTTTTTGAAGTCAGTGGGAAGGCAATGCCCGTATCTTTTCTTTTCTTTTTGAGACAGAGTTTTGCTCTTGTTGCCCAGGCTGGAATGGCACGATCTTGGCTCACCGTAACCTCCGCCTCCTGGGATTACAGGCACACACCACCACACCCGGTTAATTTTGTATTTTTAGTAGAGATGGGGTTTCTCCATATTGGTCAGGCTGGTCTGGAGCTCCCAGCCTCAGGTGATCCGCCTACCTTGGCCTCCCAACGTGCTGAGATTACAGGCGTGAGCCACCGTGCCCGGCCTTGTATCTTTCTAGATTTCAACTTTCCTTGATTGGCGAACAGTAAGACGGCTGCAGCAACCAGTTACTGTGGACATTCTTAGGAAGATGTCTTTGTCTTTGTCTTTCTGCTTCTGCCACTTGAAACCATATGTGTTCTCAAGGCATTTAGTTGACTGTAACTGGCCTTTTAATTGGATAGAAGAAAGCTTGGTGATGGGGAAGTACAGAATGTCTTCAGGATGCCCTCCTCATATGAGAATTTCCTGAAAGGCCGGGGCCAGTAGAGCGCTGCAGCCCATGGCAGGGAGCCCTGTAGAATTTGCTGGAAATGCCCTTTTAGCTGGTTTTGTGCTGCAGGTTGCCTGAGACCCCTGTGTTCTCAAGTAGAACGTGCTCTATAGAGATTACTCATAACCTGCCCTCAGCAGGTCCTGGGAAGTGTAGGGTGCATGGGTGACCTGAGAAGAAGAATTTAAGACCATTAGGATAGCGAGCCCACGTCTGTGGAGTCAGGCAGGTGGCGTGAAGGGAGGAGCTGGACGGAAGGGTGTGGGTGCTGGGTCCTTTCAGAACAGCCCCTGCCCAGCTCTGAGCCAGCTTTACCTGAGGGGATATAGACCTGGTGTGGCCACATCCTAAATGTGTCAAGAGCAGTGGGGAATCTGGGTTTTTGCTAATACCTTCAGACTTTTAGATGTTGACAGTTTAATTCAGAATTTTATCAGATGCTGTGTAAGCCAATCCAAACACCTGCGAGGAAGCTGGGACCTGGAGACTTAGGGTTGCTTTCATGGAAGGCTTCCTGAAATTTAGGACATGGCTGGGCACGTGCCTCTCAGAACAGCAGTTTTCTCAGCAAACTTTTTCACAGCCTTGTTCTCTCTCTCTCTCTTTTTTTAAAATTGAGTCACTTTTAAGAATAAGTTGCTATTATTTGTTGGTTGGCCTGTGTGGAGTGTCTTATGAAGGGGGATCTAGAGAATAGAACTAAGCCTCTTAATGTCTGTTTAGTTTGATTCTGTCAACAACTTCATGAGGTGAGTAGAGCCTGTGCTGCCTTAGTGTTGGGGAAATAATCCTCAGAAGGTTCTCTCTGGCTGAAAAATACAGCGGGATTTTCTCTTTTAAATAAGAGTCTTTTCCTTCTGTTGCTTATTGCATGACACATCGTCCCGGAAAAGTGGGCACGTGGTGGTGGTGCGTTGGAGAATCAGTACTTGGTTGTTCTCTGCTCCATAATCGAATTTGAGAGGCTTTTTTTTTTCCAGGTGAAGGGAAAATCTTAAGTTATAATACATTTCACAAACTTTTGAAAATTTTACTAGAGAAGAACTGATTAATAGTTATCTCCAGATAATTTCTGGAAAGGTAGTTGGGGAATGAATGCAAGTCATTTATGTAGCAAAGAATTTGTTCTTTGTTTTCTGCATAAATGGGCTGCTTTGTTGTGGTCTTTTGGTGTGTCCCTCTGTGCTGCCCTAGTTTTAAAGTCGAGTGTGTAGTGTGGGTGCGTGGTATCAGGCGCTCTCAGCTCTCTTTTTCTGTGTGCATGCCCTTTGCAGACATCGGGCTGGGGAGTGACTCCGTGTGTGCCCGGCCCTCGTCTCACCGCATAAAGTCTTTTGACTCCCTTGGATCACAGTCTTTGCACACTCGGACTTCAAAACTGTTCCAGGGCCAGTATCGGAGTTTGGTAAGTTTGAGAGATTTTGTTACTTAAATATGTTTGGGAAGGATATGAGTGTGTATGGATATATCTGGAAAGATACATAAGCCTCCATTAATGGTGTTAAACAGGGCGAAGTTAGCTGGACTTTGCCTCCGCTGCTCCTGTAATCGGGTTTGACATTCGCTCATTACCGGATTATCCAGATATTATGCCTAATGAGTGCTTTTGAGAAACGCGTTTGTTTTTAGGTTGTATTACAAGACTCATGGCTCGCTATCTGAAGTGATGCGTGCTTTAAAATACATCCCTTGGCACTTGCATGGCATTATCAGCTATGCACATGTACAGAAATATGAGAATAAGAAATATATATGTAGAAATACTCAGCTCTGTAAAGAAGAGAGGATTAAAACTAAAGAATCTGACTTTTTTTTTTTTTCTCTTCATGGAAGCCTGGCTTAGTGTGCTTTACTAAGGCAGGATTTAGTTTACAGAGGAGGGAATCCCTTAGAATGGCTGATTGGGATGCGGAGAAACAAACTTAGATGATTGAACAGTTGTCGTGGAGAGTGAAAAAATACTCTTTTATAAATGCTCAGGATACAGACTGTGAGTAAGACCCACGGAATGTAATAGTGAAGCTGAAAATGAGAAATTCAAGCCCTTAAAGCAGGGCTGCCTGGAGAGTGTTGCGGCAGAGCCAGGGCTGCTCCTCCGTGGTCCTGCTCCCTTCTCTGAGCCGCAGGCTGGCGGCGGTGACTGTTTGGCTGCTGGGGATACCACTGCTTTCTCGCGACGTCTTAGTACAGGACTTTGTTGGAAACATAGTGATCATGTAAAGTGAGTCAAGAGAGAACCCTATTCTAGAGTCATTAAGGGTCCATGGATTTTCCTCTGCCTTAACATGGGAATATTGCTAAGTAAGCTGGTGGCGGTCCTCAAGAAGTAAAAATTAATTTAGATAGAGTCGTGTTTTGTAGAGGGAAGTAGATTAGAGTGGTTTATGAAGCGTGTGTTAAAAATGGAAAGATACGCAAAGAATGTGATTTTTATGTTTCTGAACTTTTTGACCTCAAGCTCGCCATCATTGCTGTGTCTCCTCTTAGAGGACCCCTGAGGGGTCTGACTGCTCCCGGTGCGGTGGGCGGTGGGCTGCGTGGCCTGAGTGCTGCAGTCCTCACGGCGGCCCCACGAGGCCTGGCTGTTGCTGTTTCCTGCTTTGCGGGAGTCTGCACTGGAGGAATTCTGTGGACTACCATTGGGAGCATTAGAATTCCACGTTAAGGAGAGCTAAACAAACCACTCTAAACACACTTGAAATTAGCTCTGTAAAACACCTGAGGAAAACATAAGAGATACCAGCACGCCTTGGGTAAAGCCGTGATTTGCTGTCTCACCCGTTCACCGGTGGCAGTTTTCATCTGATTTTCTTTCTTTTTGAGTGGAGGACTGGATTACAAATGTATAATTTTAAGTAAAATGAAGTTAAATGTAGTGTTGGTAATCTTACTGAGATCCTAGTAAGTACAGGATTAATTTTTCATTAGCTGCAGAAATTTCGTTATGCTAGAAATCAAGACTCGCGCTCTCTGACCTGTGTGAAGTCTTTTTGGGGCTGATTGATGTTTTGATTGGGTGCTAGTGAGCTGCTTGCACTTTGGTGGAACGTGCCAAGACCTCTCTCAGCCATGCTAGGTAAGAATGAGTGTTTCTTTACCCTTAGGTTTTTCTGTGTGTAGTTTATCAATAGCACTTTGAGGTAGTTTCCTTGGATTAAAAATTAAAAACTTATCTTGAAACAAGAATGGCCAAACATTCCTTTGAAGCTGGGCGGTGGATGCATGGAGGGCCACCTGTCACTCTCTCCTTTTGTGTGCATTTGAATATTTCCATGATAGAAAGTTAAGCTAAAAGGCAACTTGCAGTTTCTTGAACATCAGTTTTGAGATCATATTAAACCTCAGCTTTGAGATTGCGTAAGACGCTTCCATGCCCCAGACGAGGATCTGTGTTCTGAGGGGCTGGCGCTGTTTACGCCCGTTTGCTCTTGTGTTGCTCCTTCATTACCTGCCTCCCTTTCAGTGTAAGAATGTGTCCTCCAGCCACCACTGCAGTTGCTGGTTGTTTTTATAAGCTTGTTTTTCATCTGTGAAACCGTCAGCCCCCTGCCCCGGGACAGCTTTCCTGCCTCAGAATATAGGCAGGCTTGAACAGTCTGATGTTGTGTTTCCTCCTTTGCACTGCAGTGTAGGTTTTCACTTGTCTGTGGTGCTTCTCCACCATTCCGAGGAAAGAACACTCAGGGGAGAGTTCTTACCCACTTCCAGAGGCTGAGCTAAATCGAGCTCTGTATCCAGTTCGGCTCTGTGATGGGCCTCGGTGGTGAAAAATGTGGTAGGCGCCTGCTGTAGATTGAGGTATGGTTTTCCTCACAGATAAGGCATGAGTTCATACTTCACTCTTCAGAACTTTGATCGACACCGCTGGAATTCCTGGTGTCTCTGCTGTGTTTTTTAGTCTTCAGCTGCTGATAGGTACAGCCCTGAGTGCTGAATGCTGTTCTCAGAGCTTGGGGATGGCGTTTGTGAGATGATTGTCCCCATCATCCTTCATTTCTGGGAGAGGTGACTTGATTTCTTAAAGTGCTTCTTCTGTTTCTGGAAACCAGGGACCTGGACGTCTGGCACAGTCCTGATGCTGGCAGGTAACCTTGGCTTTGGACCAGTCAGTGAGTGTATTTCCAAGACATGCAAGAAATTATATCCAAATGTTTTGTACACATTGTTAAATATTTTCATATACCGTATTTTGTCAATTCGAAGACTTCTCTTTTTAAGTCATTTTAACACATCTGGAAGTATGTGTATCTTATAGTTGATGGTATGCCATAATTTAATTGACAGTATTTGGTGGAATATAAAGACATTGTCTCATTTTTGGCATCTTACATTGGTTGACATATTATGAGGAAACTGAAGCTTAGAGAAGATATTTACACAAGATCACGGCACTCAGAAATAGTAAAGTTGGTGTGAAAATGGTCCCAGTCCTTTGACAAACATTTCTCCCTCTGTGAAGGAAGTTACAGGTGCCCTTAGAGCGTGGAGGAGAGGGTAGAGTGCGTGTGAAGCAGCACTCCAGAGTGTCCTGGTTTTGGATTGTTAGGATCATTTCAGAACATGGGATACAATAAAGTAAACAGCTGATTAAGATGCAGGATACTGATGGGTGGTGCTTTGGCTCTAGGCATCAGAGAGAGGCCGTTAAGGAGCATGGTGGGCATAGATGACCGTACCTGGCCAGGTCATGCGTGCCTGGATGGGGTCTCTTTTCCCTTTGGGTTAGGGCAGTGGGGGAACTGTCTTCACTTCTCTCCAGTTACTTTTCCTGACATATAACATCCCTAGAAAAACAGTTCATGTGTTGTGTGCATACAGCGTCATGTATTGCATGATAAAATTTTATATATGGAATGTTCCTGTGTAAGCAGCAACCAGATGAGGAGGCAGAGCATGACCAGCCTCCAACCCCTCGATGGGGCTCGCGTTCCCCAAGGTATCTGCTGTCCTGATGTCTAATGGTAAAGATGAGTTTTATCCATTTTTGTATTTTTTAGCAATGGGATTCTGTGGCATATCTTTTTTTTTTTTTTCCTTTTACAACTGGCTTGTTTTTCTCAACTGAATGATTTAGACTCCCTTAAGTGTCATGTTGAGTCCAGACAGGTGACAAGCTACAGTTTCAGGAGAGCTTTTTCAAAAAGGGGGGGAAAACCCCACAATGATAAACTAGTGATGAAATACATCTCTTCCAGCTTCCTGTGACACCACTGACACTGAACAGAGCCCTCACTCAGCTGCCGTGATTTTAGGCTGATCCTGGTGGTATAGAGTGTGTAGTTGGAATATAGCCTATTCTGGGACATCCTTTCCCAGCCTGTCCCATGCATCTTGCGCCCTGATGGAGCACGTGTTGGCATGTTCTAAGCAATCTGTCTGGAGAGTAATAGGCAGAACGAGTATTACAGAGCCCACATGTCCTTCAGCGCAATGACTGCCGAAGAATGGAGGTATGTTGTATTGGGACGTTTCACCCGGACACCTGGATCTGAAACGGCTGCCTGCCCCCTGTACCTTTCCTTGGATTCTCCCCTCTCTTAGACGCCACCCTTCCTTTCTGGGGTGTTGCTTTGCTGAAGTAATGTCAGTAGAGGTGCCTCCCTCATCCCTGCCTTGAGTGTAGAGCGTGCCTGCATTTGCACACTCATGACTGTGAGGTGGAACGCCACTGCCTCTTGATCATACCTCATCTCCCCTCTGCTTCCATTCAGGCCCGCGCTGGCCTCAGCCCTGGTGCTGGCTGGAGCCTCAGGGTTGGCCAAGGGTGACCCCGGGCACCTGACCTAGGGAGGGGCCTGCTGCGCCTGGGTTGCTTTGCTCACCACAGTTGTGTTGTGGCGTTGGAGCTGATCACCAGGCTGCATGCGCTGTGAGCCTGTTTTCCACAAGGCCAGCGTGCCCAGGTGACGTTGGATTACTCACAGGAGAGTGTGGTGGCGATCACAGCGACAGGTGGTGAGTGGAGATGGTGGTTTGCAGAAAGAGAACTTTACATAGCACAGTGAGCTCAGGTCACGTTTCACCACACGAGAGCAAGCAGCACGTGACAGTTTCTGGATGGGAGCTTCACTTGCAGTGGCAAACTTGACCCTGCCCTTTGTTGGTCACAGGGCCCAGAGAGCTTTTGTGTCTGTGCTGGTGATTGTTCTTTGGCGCTTTTGTTGCCAAACAGTGAAGGGAGACTTCTTGATTAAATATGAAAAATGCATTAAATATTTCACTTATGAATTTGAATTATTAAATACATATTTATAATTAATACTTAATCTGTAAACACATTTAAATAGATAAGTATTAAATATTTTTGGAATATTACAGCTACTCCTTACTGAGGATCTGTTGTGACCTCTTTGATGCTTTACCTTTTAAAAATGTTTTTTTCAGTGATTTATACATGAACTTAGTTTAAAGTCAAGTAATTCTCTGAAACCTGCTATTAGGAAAAAACACAGTAGATTTGGCCACTTTTAATTTTTTTCCACTGGTTCTTTTTTTGTTCGTTTTTATGGTACATAGTACATATGTATTTATGGGGTACATGAGCTGTCTTGATACAGCCATACAAGGTGTAATAATCGTATCAGTAACTGGGGGCGTCCGCCCCCTCTAGCAGCCATGACTTCTGAGTGCTGGTTCTTAAGGAGTGCTTTCTGACATGGATAGTTGTTAGTTTGGTATTCTGTGGGGCTGAGGGGGCGACCTTGCTGGACGGTTCTGTTTGGCCGTCTTGCTCCTCCGTTGGTTCTTTGTAGGTATTTGCCTGTGTGTCTCCAAATAAAGTGCCCCCCTTTTTTTCTTAATTTGAAGTGATATCAATGTGGATTCCCACAGAGAAAGAGGGGCTGGTGCTGTTTTCCTCCCCTGGCCCCCTTTCCTGCATAAACGCCTAGGCCCGTGGTCCCCATGGCTGAGTTCCACCATGCTTTCACTGAGATCCGTGTTCAGGGTAACATGACGAGGCGAATGCTATTCAGAGCAGAGCCACATTGTATGCTATGGCTGTTCTTACCCATAGCGTTTTTTTTCCGGAGAATTGGTAATTCTGATTTCTTTCGTTTTCTGTGTACTTTTTGCAGGTTGCAGATCTAGTCCTTTGCGTATTTCTAAGGGTCTCTTTGACATTCAAATACGTTATTTTTTTGTCTTCTCTTCCTGATTAACACTCTTGGAGCCTGTGCCGTACTTTTAAACTCCCTTGGTTATGAGCCAGGCTGGCCGCACAGCTACTGCCTCTGAGCCCCCTTCCGTTGTCACCTGGGACACTCCCCCTGACTGTGTAGCTCTCCTCTGCCTCTTTCTCTTCAGTTTTTTTGTTGGTTAATCCCCCTGTTTTGGAGAAGCACCTTTTTAACTCCTTGAGAAAGGGGTGCGTGGGAGGTAAATTTTTGCGATATTGTATATCTGCAGATGTCTGTTTTATTAATCAGTTTTTTGTCTTTAGTTTTCATAAGTTTAATTATGGTATGAGTTGGTTTGAATTTCTTTAAGTTTATACTATTTGGGGTTTACACAGATTCCTGGATTGGTATATTTATGTCTTTTGCCAAATTTGGGATATTCTGAGCCAATTTCTTACCCTGCTTTTCAGCTCTGCCCTCTTAGACTCAGCTTCTGAGGCTGGTACCAGTCTTTGAAGTTCTGTTATTTCCCACAAGTACCTGGGAGTGAGTGTTGCTGGATGCGGGGCTGCTGATGGGCCTGCTGGTGGTAGAGCGGGGGCTGTATGTTAAGAAGTGTGGGTGGTCTCAGGCCTTCCCTATGGCTGGGTGGAGGGCAGGGAGAAGCCGGTGTGGGCAGATGGAATCGCCTGCTGCCACCTGGTGGGGATAGAGGCCTGGACTCTCTGCTGATGTCACTGGTGCTCCCTGGAGCTCTGGACACTTTGTGCAGTTCGTGGGGACACTGTGTTGCAGGTGGGCTGGGCTCGCCCACTGTCAGTGGTAGGGAGGTGGAGTGGGCCGGGGCTGATGTCTGCCAGGCAGCCCTTTCCTTGCTCCCGTGCCGGCACGAGCAGGCTTCTCCTGGGGTTGTCAGGCTGTGCCCTTTGATAGTTCTGCGTCTCCAGCCTCTCCGGAGCTCTGTCCAGGGCGGATGGAAATCAAAGAGGCCCAGCCCCTCTGCCTTCCTCTTTCTACCTTTCAGAAATCTGAAAATATGTACAGTTTTTGAGAAAAATGCAAATTAAAATATGAGGTACTATTTCTTCTTGTCAGTTTGGCAAAAATAGAAATGTTTGGCAATATTGAGTGTTGGTGGAAGTTTGAAATGAGAACTTTTAGTTACTGTTGGTGGGGATGTTGCTTGGTGTAGTTTGTAGAAACCTTTTGGAGGACAATTTAAAAAGATGTGTTAAAAAGTTAACTGTAATAAATACGTCTTCTGACCAGAATTTAATGTATAGGCTTGTTTACAGGTATATTCAAAGGTAGATATACAGATATTTTTAATGCGGCCTTGTCTACACAAGGAAAGCACTGTCTATGGTATATGGAAATATACTGGAAATAAATAATCTGAAAATCCACTAATGGAGAGTGGGTTCCATGATGAATGCTGTAGTCATATGGCGTAACATGAAGTGTTAGGTAAGCACCAGTAACTACTGCCAGAGAAATGACCATGTTGTCTTAACTTTTGTGACTTGTGGAGAAGTATGTGTAGTGTGACTCTGTCTCCGTGTACACGGATGTGTCTGATGATGTGGGTGTCACAGTGGCAGACCAGGACTTTTGAATGCTGTGAAGAGGGTGTTCTCTGGGGGCTGGAGTGGTGCTAGTGGTGGTCATGGTGCACTGAAAGGGAGGAAACTGAAATTTCTCTAAGATGTTTTTTTGCTGTTGGGCAGTTACGCTACCTTTGTACTAGTAAAGTATAATCTGTTTTATAATGAAGTAGACTGTTCTTGGTATAATTTTTCTCCCACTCTTCCCCTTTTAGGACATGACCGATAATAGCAACAATCAACTGGTAGTAAGAGCAAAGTTTAACTTCCAGCAGACCAATGAGGACGAGCTTTCCTTCTCAAAAGGAGACGTCATCCATGTCACCCGTGTGGAAGAGGGAGGCTGGTGGGAGGGCACACTCAACGGCCGGACCGGCTGGTTCCCCAGCAACTACGTGCGCGAGGTCAAGGCCAGCGGTAAGTGGCCGAGCCTGTCCTGTGTGTGGCTTTTCTTTGCCATGAGCAGAGAGAAGTAAATGTACTTGACATAGTGTTTACTCTCCAGCTGGACCTGTGCAAATGACCTGGTCTTAGGATACGGTTTTTTGTTAGATGTAATGGATTTTCACCTCAGCCCCACATTGGGGCCCTGGCATCAAGGGCTCTGTAGTTACCAGGCAGCATTTCCTTTCGTCCTGGCATTTTTCAGATGTGAAGAGAAACATCTCAAATCTTTAATCGTTGCAGTTTTACTGTGATAGAATTGATCCTCTTTTTTTGGGGGGGGCGGGGGGCTAGTGTCAGGACTTGGAGTTGGTGATCCGCAGGCTGGATTTAATTTTTGTGGCTATGGGTGCTTTTGGCAGTGGCGTGCAGTGAGGTAATTTCTGTCATTTTCTTCGTACTAGTGATAGTATTTTACAAATGCATTGCTTCCTTATGTTTTGTAGCTGTTCGCATTGTTTCACTGGCTTTCCGATTTTGAGACTTGTGTTCTTATGAAAGAATAGTGATCCTTGGCACGTGGCTGTGGCTGCCAGGCTGTCGTGGCTGCCGGGCTGTCGTGCCTATCGTGGAAGCGTGTGGGTGGGCGGGCAGAGGCGGGGGGTGGAATTTGTCAAGGGGGCATCATGTATGTAGCTGGCATCCTGCCCTGTGGTTGAAAAACACCGTTGTATAGTATACAACCATTCCTCTAGTATATACCGTTCCTCTGATTCTGCTGGGGAAAGAGCGACTTAGAGACAATAGCTGATACACAGGGAGGTGTGGAAAGAACATGATGTAAAATTATAGCTCTACTCTAGGGCTTGGGTGACGGAGCCTCAGAGCCACAGGTGTTTCAGATGGAAAATGAGGATGATCGTTCTCCCTTGTGCGGTCTTGTGAGGTTGAATTGTTAAGGTTTGTACTAGGTATGGAGTCTGGCAGAGTAGGAGCTAAGGGAATGTTAATGGCTGCTATTGTTTTTCTAAGGTAGCAAGAAAAAAAGATTTATAAATGGGAATATGACAATTTTGATGTAAAAATATTTTTTCAGTGACCTCAGAAAACAAGTATTTTAATAAGGCATCTGGCAGCCCTTATTTGTAAACTTCTCTGGTGGAATTTTTAGGATCACATGCCTATTTGTTTTCTATTGTATGTATACATACACATATATATAAAGCAGTTTGCCATTTTTAAATGTACTGTTCAGTAGCACTAAGTACATTCGCATTTTTATAACCATCACCACTGTTTATCTCCAGAACTTTTTTCTTCTCAAACTGAATTCTCTTCCCATTAAACAGTCCCCTTTCCCCTCCCCAGCCCCTGCCCTCTACCATTCCGCTTTCTGTCTCTGAATTTGATTACCGTTGGTGCCTCATGTAAGTGCAATCGTTTTGTCTTTTGACTGGCTTGTTTCACACAGCATAAAGTGCTCAAGGGTTTTCCATGCTGTAGCATATGGCAGAATTACCTTCCTTTTTAAGGCTGAATATTTCATTGTATGTATGTACAACATTATGTATTGATGGGAACTTGGGTTGCCTTCACCTCTTGGCTATTGTGAATAATGCTGCTAAAAGCATGGTTGTGTAAGTATTTGAGTCCTTGCTTGTCAGTTCTTTTCTGTATATACCCAGAAATGGAATTGCTGGATCAGATGCTAATTCTGTGATCAGGTCTTGAGGAACTGCCACATGGTTTTCTCCAGTGGCTGCACCACATCACCTTCCCACCAGCAGTGCACAAGGGTTCTGCTGCTTCTGTGTTCTCGCCAACTTGTTTTGTGTGTGTGTGTGTGTGTGTGTGTTTTTTTGAAGTAATAGCCATGCTGTTGGATGTGAAGTTGCTACTGTTTTTTGTAGTTGTTAATAATAATTTAAAAGGCAGTATTTTTTATTGTAATCGACTTGGGCAGAATTTTTTTCTGGCTGCTTGTTATGTTCCAGTTAATGTATAAAGTACTTTCCATTTGCAACTCAGTTCTCCCCATAACACTTGAAGACAAGTATTGCTGGGCTATTAGGAAGCGGGTAGGTTACAAGTACATGACATCCACGGCCGGGCGCGGTGGCTCAAGCCTGTAATCCCAGCACTTTGGGAGGCCGAGACGGGCGGATCACGAGGTCAGGAGATCAAGACCATCCTGGCTAACACGGCGAAACCCCGTCTCTACTAAAAAATACAAAAATCTAGCCGGGCGAGGTGGCGGGCACCTGTAGTCCCAGCTACTCGGGAGGCTGAGGCAGGAGAATGGCGTAAACCTGGGAGGCGGAGCTTGCAGTGAGCTGAGATCCGGCCACTGCACTCCAGCCTGGGCGACAGAGCAAGACTCTGCCTCAAAAAAAAAAAAAAAAAAAACAAAAAAAAAAACAAGTACATGACATCCTTTAAAAAAATCTGTCCATGTGTAGAGCCCACGGAGAGCGTGGCACTGGCACCATTCTGAGGGGTGGAAATGGCAACTTGACAGACATCGCTGTTAGGAAATGCAGTTTTGTCTGTGACTCAGTTGGATGGCGCTGGCCTGCATGGGCCTGCCTGGAGACCTAGGGCTAGGGCAGGCCCAGTCCATGCTGTGAGCCCATCTCCTAGCCCGGCCCTGCCAGTTGGAGAGATCTTTCTTCTGGGGACCAGTGAGAGCAGCCCTGGGCCAAGAGGCCTGAGATGGCGCCAGTGGACTTTCCAGGAGGACACTTGAGCCAGGGCAGAGGAAGGAGGACCTCGTTGCTCACCTTTGCCAAGGAGAGTTGAGGTTACAGAGCTGCTGAGTGGACGCACCTTTGGAGTAGGGACAGACGCTTGTTCCAGCTGCTCTTTCTTTAATTCTTAAGTGAACTCCTCCTTAAGTGTGAATCCTGGACTGACTGAACCACAGTAAGAGTGCAGGTGAGTGGGTTTTCACTTTTCATGTATTTTTCCTTGTGAATTTTTTAGAAGTAACCCAGCTTAAGGAAATTACACTGAAAAGAATGGAATTTGTGGATCTCAAAATCCTCTCCAGTGGGACGTGGTTTTCAGACACATTTGAATGTCGTCAGTGTCATCTGCCGTGGGAATTTGTCTTGCAGTGTGCTGTTACCTCTGATAGCCCACAGGAAGGCATCGTGGGCTCCCTCTTTGGAGTGGATTGTGGGTCCTGGAGCTGGCAGCAGCAGAGGACGCTCTCCAAGGACCAGCAGGGCGTGTTTAGAAACACGGCTCTTGTGAGGAACGGTGCTCTCACTTTGTTCTACCCGAAGCCCCCACTCATGTCTTATGTGTGTCTGAGCATGTGTGCCTGCTCGGTTTAAACGTGTGTGCGTGTACATGGTGTGTTGCCATCAAGGAGCTCTTTGCAGGGGCCACAGTGAATCCATAGGTGTATTAGGGTTCTTCAGAGGGACAGAACTAATAGGGGAGATATATATATATATCTCTATCTCAAGGGGAGTTTATTATATATATTATATATATAAAACATATATATATAAAGTAAACGTGTATATATAATATAGGAGTTTATTAACTTACATGATCACAAGGTCCCACAATAGGGGGATGTATAAATATGTACATGTGTATGTATGTATACTATATGTATATACATATGTATATATGTATACTGTATGTATATATACACATACACAGATGTATATATGTATAGTATACACATACACACGTTTCTGTGTATACTATATATACGTATGTATCTACTATATACACATATGTATACTATATGTACACACATATGTATCTATGCATATTATGTATATACACACATACGCATATGTATGTATACTATATGTATATACACACACTATATATGTATACTAAATGTATACACACACACGTAAGTATATGTATATATGTACACAAGGTCCCACAATAGGCCATCTGCAGGCTGAGGAGCAAGGAGAGCCAGTCCGAGTCTCAAAACTGAAGAAGTTGGAGGCCGACGTTTGAGGGCAGGAAGCATCCAGCACAGGAGAAAGATGTAGGCTGGGAGGGTAGGTCAGTCTCACCTTTTCACATTTTTCTGCCTGCTTTATATTTGCTGGAAGCTGGTTAGGTGGTGCCTACCAGCTTAAGGGTGGATCTGCCTTTCCCAGCCCACTGACTCAAATGTGAATCTCCTCTGGCAACACCCTTGCAGACACACCCAGGATCAATACTTTGTGTCCTTCAATCCGATCAAGTTGGCACTCAGTATTAACCATTACAATAGGTTTTGTACCAAACTGAGACCTGAGTAACTTTGGAAAATTTCCCTTTTTTTCCTGTTTATTTTTTTAAATTCAAGAAATACCATTTTTGAGCATATTAGTGATTAATAAGCTAAACTTTATATGATGGTTGAACCAAGGGAATAACCTTCTGTCCCTGTTGTTCTCTGATTACCTGAGCATATTGTATGGAAAGTCATGCTAGTTTTATTTTAGTTTATTTATTTTAAATTTTATTTTACTGTTTTATTTTGAGATGGAGTTTCACTCTTGTTGCCCAGGCTGGTGTGCAGTGGCTCTCACTGCAACCTTTGCCTCCTGGGTTCAAGCGATTCTGCCTCAGCCTCCTGAGTAGCTGGGATTACAGGCATGCACCACCATGCCTGGCTAACTTTTGTAGTTTTAGTAGAGATGGGATTTTACCATGTTGGCAGGCTGGTCTCGAACTTCTGACCTCAAGTGATCCACCCGCCTCAGCCTCCTGAAGTGCTGGGATTACAGGTGTGAGCCACCATGCCCAGCCTAGTCTGATTTTAAACAGGGGCATTTGAGGCAAGTGTGAAACCACATTTTTTACCATGTCACTCTAGAGCAGTTAAGAATAAAACTCTAGGATCATAATTACATTTCAGTACAGCAGACTTCCCTCTCACCTCTGGCTTTGCTTAATGTGGTTACAATTACCTGTGGTCAACCCTGGTTTGAAATAGGTGAGAACAATACGGTAAGATACCTTGAAAGAGAGACCACATTCACATAACTTTAGTTGTAGTATATTGTTAT